TTCGCGGTGCGGCGCGGCAGTCGAGCCACGAGCAAATATATATATATATATATATATATATATACATATATATATATATATATATATATATATGCAACAGTGGTGCTGTGTTGCACACGGCTGCTGCGGTGCACACAGGCGCCGTGGTGTACACAGGCGCAGTAGTGCACGCAGGCATTGTGATGTGCACTGGTGCTGTTTTGCACACGACTGATGTGGTGTACGCAGGCGCTGTGGTGTACACAAGCGCTGTGGTGCCCGCAGGCACTGTGGCACACACTGGCGCTGTGTTGCACGCGGCTGCTGTGGTGTACATAGGCGGTGTGGTGTACACAGGCACTGTGGTGCACGCAGGCGCTGTGGTGTACACAGGCGCTGTGGTGCAGATCGCCACTTACATGCTGAAGCTACCCGTCCTCGTTCATTCCTAGGCATTCCCTGACGCCGCCGGCGCGAAAAGTGACGTCATCGGCCCCTCCACCCCCACCCCCCCCAGATGATCGCCGTCATCGGCCCGTGATTTCAAAACAGGCTGCAGCCGCGTCGGCGCGCACGACAACGATGAGCGACGACCGACGACCGACGAGCGACGACGACGACGACGACGACGACGACGACGACGACGACGACGACGACGACGACGACGACGACGACGACGACGACGACGACGACGACGACGACTACAACGACAGCGGACCAGACTCCTATGCGGATTTCTATGCGGACATTAATGCGGATCCCGATGCGCACGGCGGCAGTGCCCCGAGCGCACTGGGGGGGGAGCGTTACGTCATAGGGGGGGGGGCGGGGGCCATCACACCCGTTTTGCCCCAAGCAATGAAGAAACATTCTCGTTGGGAGCGTCGGGAAGCCGAAACGGCGAGAACGCCGGAATCATTCAAAAACCTCTTCAGGAAAATCAATGATTTGGGCCTCTTGAGACCATCTTGGGAGGCTTCTTAGAGGCGTTGTGGGGCGTCTTGGAGGTCTCTTGGGCCGTCTTGGAGGCCTCTTGGGCCTCTCTGGGGGCCATATTGAGCGTCTTGGCGCGATCGTTCGACGATTCGGGGCCTTCTTGGACCGTCTGGGGGGCCTCTTGGGGCCCTCTTGGCCCCTCTTGGCCCCTCTTGGGGCCCTCCTGCGCCCGGAAAATTCACGGGCCACCACTTCAAGGAGACCAGGGGGCACGCGGGAAGTGCCCAAAAGCACGGCAGATATGACAGACACCTTCGGGAAAAAGCCACACCCGGAAATTCACGGGAAACTGAAAATTCCCTCCCCCCCCCAAAAAAAAACACAGGAATCGAGACGGCAACCCCGGACAAATTCTGAACCGACTTGAAAAGTTTTTGGCCAGACTTGGAACCGCACCGAACCTGGAAATTTGAGGACCAAGCGCGGGAAAAAGAAAGCCGCGCCCAGAAACGTTCCTGGGCAAAGCTTGGAATTGCATTGGTGTTGGGGTGGTGGAGGCTGGTAGATGGGGAGTGGGGGCGCGAGGAAAGGGGGGAGGAGGCAGGAGGGAGGGATCAGGATGAGGTGGTTCGGTTCGGCTGTCCACGAAGGAAAGGTAGACCCTTATCTGCCGGGAGAGCGTGGGGCCCATTTTGGCAGGGGTAGACATGTAGAAAGACATCCAGACATCCAGATAGACATACGATAGACATTTTCCAGTGGGGGGATTGGCATCCAGAGAGATAGACATCCACGTTTGAATTTCCCTGCGAGGTGATACGCGTCTAGGTACAATTCATAGACATCAAAATGGGAGGCACACGCCCACCTGTACAGTTGGTGAGCATTTCCCCTGCCGACCAGGCACTGGGACAATCATATCGTGCAGATGTTGGGTTACTGGGGGTATACATCAATATGAACATGCCACATATATGATTGACATGTAATGATAAACGCCTAGATGGACACATGACATGCGTAGGATGGACATTCGCCACCTTGGCAGATCCATATTGATAGACACATGCTATCGATACATACACATGTTGTCATCAGTCATACAGACATTTGATAGACAGACTTGACACCTGTATATGAACATCTACATGCACATATGATTGACATTTGATATTCAACTATGTCAGCAATCGTATACACATTGATGTACATATGATATCCATGGATGGTTTGGCACCTGGGGATATACATCTGGATTAACATATCATAGATATCCGACGGACACATCGCCGAGAGACACACCGACATCTACACATGTATATGATGAACCGATTTACCACTGAAGGGATAAACCTCTATACATACATATGACAGACATGTTTGGTGCCGAGAGACAGACATTCATATATACATACATGGTTTACATTTTTGGCACCTGCGGATCGGCATCTTGATATACATGTGATGTGTATAGTTGCCACCGAGGGCTACGCATCTGCACACACACACATATATATATACATGATGGGTATCTCTGGCACCTGGGGGTTGACATCTGGATGTCGACATCTGATATACGTCCGAC